TTGGCTTTTTTTTCTTTTTCCAGCTCAGTTCCTCTCTTTTATTAATGATTATTTTATGACCTGGTTTTGAAATGAAAAGTGTGATGTTGTCATGCGCCAATTAATACCTGTGTGCTAATTAACACATACATGGAATTTAGTGTCTTTATGTCAATTTACCCACAGACTGCTACCCAGAGGCATCCCTCAATGCCCTTCACAATGGTTGCATTTAGCAGTCAGCTGCACCATCACCACCACCAGCTTGCATTTATACCCCTAATGCAGGGATGCGTCCCAGAGCACTTGACAGCGGCAGAGTATGACTCCAAGTCGGGAAAGGGGGAGGTGACCGTAGGCACGGTTGAATAGGAAGGTTTTCAGGCACCACCTGAAAATGGGGAAGGAAGTGGAAAGGCAGAGGGATAGAGGAAGGGTGTTCCAGAGTTTCAGGGCGTAGTGGCTGAAAGCGCGGCCACCAATGGTGAAACAGAGGGCATGGGGACATGCAGAAGACTGAAGCCAGTCGAGCAGAGGCAGCGGTTTGGGGGATAAGCAGGTCGGAGAGGTAGGGAGATGCCAGTGCATGAAGGGATTTGAAAACGAGTGTGAGGATCTTGAACCACCATGTATAGGACTTTGGTTCACAGTTCACGATATTGAACTGCGATTTAGCTGACTTAACTAAACAACACACAATAAATTAAATGCCTCCTGTCTAATGCCACAATTCCAGCTTCTTGATGCAACCATTGAAAAGGGTGAGGAAAGAGGGAGGATTGAGGGATTTGCCCTCAATAAAGGGTCAAGTCAATGCATTAAATGTCATTAAGTTGCTAAATTGAATGGATGCGTTAATCACCAACGTTGGTGTTATTTAACACATCCCACATCGCAATTTTCACGGTTACACAACCAGTTTTGGCACCATTCATTTTGACCCAAGAACCATGGTATGATAATAAGAGGGCTCCACAGCAGCAGAAACAGTTGCAGACAGTAACTGTGGAATGAATCTTCTTTTTCAGGCGACCCTGCAGCAGAGGAATGGTCCCCCTGGACTGTCTGCTCATCGACGTGTGGGCAGGGTACACAGACCCGGATGAGATCCTGCGTGTCATCTCCATATGGTACCTCTTGCAGCGGACCCCTGCGGGAAATGAGACTATGCAACAATTCAGCAGTGTGTCCAGGTCTGCTTGAACTAACGGAACAACCCTTCTGGGGAGAAATTCCTTTCAGCATTACCCTTTGGTGATGTCATTCACTGGTAGGATTACCCCTATAGCAGCGAGACACCATCAAAGGCCCTACATCTAACACTGAATGGAATTTCTCCCTACTCTTGCTTTCACTTACTTGTCCTGATTTCCTTCCCTTACATTTGTTTTGTTTTCATGCCCTCGCTGAATCCTGCCGAGGTCAGGCCACCCCCAACATTGGTGCCGAGCCAACATTCGACCAGTGCATCGTACAATCAAGTCGTTAAGATCAAGTCCGTCAGTAGATCCAATTCAAAGCCAAGTTGCTCCTTGGCCATCCCCAGTGTATGTTTCAACCTCAAAAGGAACATCAACAACATCAATGTGACAACATCATTCCCTACATGCTCTACGTCTGCTTCCTGGGTTACTGCTAAATGAGTCGTGAAATAATAAAGGGATTTGTTACCATGTAGCCTGCCTGCTCCACTGGATAAGAACGAGGTTCAGGGTCATGAGAGCCAATTTTTAGAATGTCTTTGCCCACTAGCTGGTTAAAGATCCCATGGTGTATTCCAAAAAAGCGGAGTTTCTCTCTGTGTCGTGGCCAACAATCCTTAAAATAAAATTGGTCACATTATAGCTGTTTGTGGGACATTGCCATGAGCAAATTGGCTGATGTAATTGGCTACAAAATACATAGTGATGATACTTGACAGCAATTCTCCATGAATTGCATTGAGACATTTTGACATGATAGGCCCTGGAACAAATAAGTATAAGGATTATTATTATAAGATTATTTAGTTAAATCTAGGGTGTTAAAATTATTAAATGTTCAAGCACTTCATCAAAAGCAGGATGCCTTTGGAACTATGTATAGTCAGACATCTGGCTGACCAAAAAAAAATTGAATCTTGCAACTGGCACTTATATAGTTACTTTCACATAAAGGTATGTCTCAAAAAATTTGGCAAAATGGAATGGCGGATTAGCAATTTAGATGTTGACAAAAGGACGTTGACAAAAGTGAGGATTAAAGAGATGTTTTCAGGAAGTTTTTGAAGGTGGAGAGAGTTAGCGAGGCAAAGCACAAAATTAAGTGTAGGGTTTCTGCAACATTATGCATAAGGATATACATCTGAAGAAGGCTGCGCTGTGACATGTCTATAAAATCCCTTCATGGACTACAAGCCCTGACAATATGGCACAAGCGCCACCTGGAAAATGTTCTTGGTAAATCACCTGCAAAGTACACAGTCACTACACTTTATGATGAACCCTTTGAAGAGAATTGAGACATTCCAAGGTGTCTTACAAAATTGTTTTCTGTTCCCATCTTGGTTGGTGTCAGTCTGGCTTGATTGGTAGCACTCTTGCCTCCAAATCAGAAGGTTGTGGGTTCAAGCCCATTGACAGTACTTTGAACTCCCACTCTGAAATGATACTCCAAAACTGTGCTGGGGTGTGCTGCATTGTCAGAGGTGCTGACCTTCAGATGAAGGTCCTGTCTGCCTGTTCGGATCGATGTTAAATATCCCATGGCACTATTTACAATGAGGAAGCAATTTTTCCTAGTGTCCTGGTCAACAATCGCCCAGATAAAATTATTTGTTCCTTACATGATTGTTTGTAGGAAACTACTGTGCACAAATTGGGTACAAAATACACCGTCACTACACTTTACAATAAATCCTGTGAAACACTTTGGGACGTGGACCTGACATGAAAGACAGCTTGTCAAATACAATTTTTCTTATTATTATTCCTGATTGCCATTTCCAGATTCCCAATGGGGCAGCATGCAGCAGACCCCTGTGGGAATTTAGATTACGCAACGATTCAGCAGTGTGTTCAGGTCTGCTTGAACTAACAAAAAAAAATTTTGTTTGTGGGTCAGTATTTGGGTAATTCCAAAGGCAGACAATCTATTCACTCTCACATTTGCCATTAAGGATAGGTTCATTACATCACATATTGGAGTTTTGACCAGGTTATGTGATGAGTGATTTTTGGTAGAATACCTTCTATGAATGATCTTTTTCCAAAGCAATGGGAAAGGGGAATGGGTAGAAATATGTTAAATAAGGTGTTTGTAGTTGAAAGTCCTGAAACTCACAATCCCACCTGGTCATAGCCCGTAAGACCATTCTGTCTTAATTCTTGAATTGTGAAAAATTCCAATACTCTGTCTCAATGTGGGAGCCAGCCTCTTTTTAAGAAAATGCCTCGATGAGGGATGGTAAGGTGGATGTTCTGGAAGGATGAGGTTGAATGGGCCGAAAGGTCTTTTTCATTCAGACCAATTTTATGATCTTGTGAAGAACTGCAGGAAGGGGGAAAAAAAAGGACAGCTTCCCAAAATGAAGACTGAATTTGTGGATTTTCCCCAATCCTCTGTCATCTTCGATTTTTAAGACAAAATAGTTTCACAGGCTAAGAGCAGGTCTCTACTATCTCTTCTCCGAAATGGGGGGGAAAGAAAACCTTGTGATTCTCTACCTATTGTCAAGGTGCGTCAACGTGGGACACTCTTCACAATGTGTCTGGCACAATGCGCCTATGCAAAGAACGGCCTATGTTCAAATTAACACTGTGCAGCTGAAAGCATCTGTCAGAGCATCTGGAGGAGCTGACAGCAGTGAATTTGGCTTTACAAATGACTCTGGAGTGTCAACAGTGTACGTGATAGTGATGAGCATCACAGTGAAATGTGTTTGTGCCTTCATGCATTGTCCAGTATGGGTCAGCGATCAGGAGCAAGAGCTCTTGATTAAAGTTCTCTGTTCAAACGCCTCCTTTACTTAGTTCAGGGGAATGCTGAGGCCCAGATCGAACAAAGGATTTCCCTTTGGCTCCACTCTGAACTAGGCAAGTTGCTCTGCCAACTGAGCCAGAGATTTTTGTTTTGCCTGTAATGGCCTGACTTCTCTTATAACGTTGCCTCCAACCGGTTTGGTATGTACACAGAAGGTGTAAAACCTCAGTGAAACTGAGTGTAACATCACACATAATATACAAAGAAACATACTGTTGTTTAAACAAGAGTAGTGATATGTGCACCAGTACTAAATCTCTGTAAAGGAAAAGATGCACTCTAAAATGAGAGGTATTTTTATGCATGTCCAGAGTGTCATTGCACTGTAAAACAGGATTTGTTATGTATATTCGGGAATGTTGTAGAGAGACATAAGTATTATATCTCTGTATAATAACTAGAGAAGTACAACACTGCTGTAAAACACAGGGTGTTAACATACAACATGTATGGAGTGTTACAGTGCGGTAAAATAATATTATAAAATTAATTATACTTTGGCATCGAGATGTAGCCCTGGCTAAAATGCTACGTTTTGGTCGAATTTATATTTTCATCCCTGCTTGACAGACCAACGCAGGGAAAGAAATATCGAGGATTAACTGGGTGCCGAATCGGTGTGGGGCCCAAAATTTACCAAAGATCGCCAGCTTGTGATTTAAAAAAATGATAGCAGATGCTAGGGCTTGAAAACGGAAGAAACCACATTATGTGGCAGGGTGTGCTGTCACCTGGTGGCAATGGTTCAGGCTTGGGTTGAATAAGAAGCCATAAATTTTAATCCTATTATTATTTTGAGTGGGTGGAGTAGGGTGGGGTGTACAAAGGAGCATTTTGTGTTTCAGAATGTAACATCACTTCAGAAAGTGCTGGGGAGTGACGGGCATTCACAGTGCCCACCGAACTTTGAGCCCACACCAGTGACTGGCTGTCGCCTACACTTCATTTCGACGGAGCCGATGTGACATGACGTGAGCTCCATTGTTGTCTCTGCTTTTCAGTGCACGGCGTTTGGGAGGAGTGGTCGCCCTGGAGCTTGTGCTCCTCCACATGCGGGAGGGGACATCGGGACCGCACTCGCTCCTGCATCCAACCCCAGTTCGGAGGCAACCCCTGCGAGGGTCCCGAGAAGCAAACCAAATTCTGCAACATTGCACTTTGTCCCGGTATGGTCTTTTCCTCATGTACTTCCTCCCTGATTTCCCGACTTGCACATGGTGCATTATACAACAACAACGACAGAAACCTTCATGAATGTCACCTTTCACACCGGATAGCATCTCGGTGCGCTTAACAATGGTGGAGGATGACACTGAGCTGGGGAGAAAGGGGAGGTGACTGTAGGCACAATCGAAGAGGAAAGTCTTCAGGTGCAATCTGAAGATGGGCAAAGAGCGGGCAAGGTGGAAGGTTTGAGGCAGATCATTCCAGAGGACTGGGGCATAGTGGCTGAAAGCACAGCCACTGATTGTGGAGGGGTCAAGATGTGTTACTGGGGAGGGTTTGGGGTAAAGGTGGTTGGCAATAGCAGTATTCCTAAATGCATACCTTTCCTTAATCAAGGAAATTCCTTAAGACAGAACACAGAAAATATGGAATTGAGACAGGACAACCTGTCCTCTCTAACTTAGGAGCATAGAATTTTACAGTGCAGAAGAAGACGATTGGACCCCTTGTGCTGGCTTTCTGAAAGAGTGGCCATTCAATTTCTTTCTCCTGTCATTTCCCCTGCACCCTTGTTAGATTTCACTTTTTCAATTGACGAATAGCTTGGTCTATCGGATAGCACTCTTGCCTCTGGGTCAGAAGGTTGTACATTCAAAACCACCCATCTGGTCTTGAGTCAGAAGGTTGTGGTTAAATACACGGTCACTACACTTTGCAGTATATCCTAGAAATGCTCTGAGAAGTTTCAACCACAATGTTATAAGTGCTACATCAAAATGTGACGATTTGTAATTGTTATTAAAAAAAATTGCTCTTGATTGATTATTTAAGAGCAAAATGTTATTTAAAAAGTCTGATGATTAATTTGCCTATTAAACACTTATAGTTAATACAATATAATACAACATGTCAAATATACATCCTTGAACCCTGACTGTGCTCATTGTAGCTCCAGCTACAATGTACTGATGGGCCAAATGGCATCCTTTCTTCTGCAAATTTCTATGTTTCTTTGAATAGGTATCTTAAAAGGATTGAACTACAGGGGTTTGACAGAAAAGGTGGATAAATTAGACTGAATGGATTGCTCTTTCAAAGAGTCGTGATGAGCCAAATGGTCTTTCTTCTGTGCTGCCAATTTATATGGCTTTACAGCAGAACCACTGTAACTCTTAATTCTTTGGTTTCTTCCCCATAAGTGGATGGGAACTGGAACGACTGGTCAAGCTGGAGCCAGTGCTCTGCCTCCTGCTCGAATGGGACACAGCAGCGGACAAGAGAGTGCAATGGGCCTTCATTTGGTGGGGCTGAGTGTCAAGGCTACTGGTCTGAAAACAGGCCCTGCTTTCTGAGGAAGTGCCCAGGTAAGGTGTGGACTGGTTAAGCACTCTGAAACACTATCCCATGAGAAGGGAGCTATATAAATGCTAGTTGCTGTAGTTGTGGGTCATTCAAGTTGTTTTTGATGGGATAAATGAATTAGGCACCTTCTCCCTCCCATTATGACTGTGTCCTGGAGTCTTGCTAATGGTTAATAAAGTGGGTACTACATGAAGCAGGGTTTCGCCCACAAATATACAGTCAATTCACTTTACAGTATATTCTGTAAAGCGCTTTGAGACGTCTAGAAGACGTGAAAAGCGCTATATCAAATGCAAGGATTATTATTATTATTACTTTAGTTTTGTTTCAGTCAATGATCCACTGCCAAAGTTCTTTATTTTACCTTCAAAGCATTATTTTTCCGTCTGCCCCACCTTCCAACAACAACAACAACAACAAATTACATTTCTATAGCACCTTTCACGTCAGGAGGACATCCCAAGCCGCTTCAAGGTCTGAACAATACATCACCAGTGAGGTAAACCTAATCCATCTAAGTCTAAGAAGTGGGTCTGAGATCCAGCAGACGCTTCCCTATCAGTGGGGGATAATCCAATGCCTGGTGATTTCCATTTTGCAACGCTAGGAAGAGTACAAAAGGTTCAACGAGTGGAGAGGTCGGATGCAATGTTGCTGTAAAAGAATCCGCCAGTCACAGTATTGCTATCGGTCTGAATGGAATTCACAATAATGACAGGATTCTCAGCTCAGGGTCACACAATTCTCATTGTGTGGCTTCGGTTCCCGCAGATGATGCCAGGAGTTTTTTAAGATACGTTCACAACCTCAGGCCCTCTTCACACGGGAACTCCTTGAGGGGACACACCCTGCTTGTCTAATTCTGGAGAGTATCAGGCACAAGGTTGTCAAGTGCCAAGGCTTTTGAACCCCCTTTAGTGTGTATTTTGGGGTTAAGCTAACGTCAAAGCGATGCATCTGGCAAGGGAATATCAGAATCACCTCAATCCTCTGTGGCAATCTTGTTAGGCCGGTTCCTGAGCCAGATGGATCCACAGTCCTCCAAAGCACTTTTAATAATAATAATAACAAAATAATAATCCTGGCATTTGATATAGTGCTTTTCATGTCTTCTAGATGTCTCAAAGCGCTTCACAGAATACACTGTTATGTGAATTGACTGTATATTTGTGGGCAAAATGCGGCAGCCAATTGCGCACAGCAGTGTCTCACAAACAGTCGAGGATTGAAGTGACCAATTTATTATTGTGCTTTTTTTTCTTGAGGGATTATTATCAGGGGTGTGGAGTAAGGAAACTTGCCCAATGTTTTGCCCTCGTGGGAATCAAACCCAGGTCTTTCACTTGTGAGGCAAGTGCTCCAATAATAAGTATTATTATTTTTATAGTGATGGGTTCTCACTTGTGCCAGACCTGACTGAGCAAAAGGAATGTATCACGGTGAGAATGTTTTGAATCCACTGAAACAAGTTGTGATCAGTTTGTAACACCAATATTTTCTGTTACAGTGGATGGAAAATGGCAAAAGTGGACCAGTTGGGAATCGTGCACCAAAACTTGCGATGGAGGGAAACAGCGCCGAGAGAGGATTTGCACTGGACCTTTTTTTGGAGGGCTTCAGTGTGACGGATCCTGGGAAGAGTATAGGTTGTGCAATGAGAAGCGGTGTCCAGGTAAATATCTGTGACTGTGAGTGGAGGATTAACAAGTCAGTGTGGTTATAACACAGTTAGTGCATCAGTATCCTGCACTGCAGGATGCTGGTTCGTGGTTACTATTATTCCCCTCCCCTTTGATAGCACCCTCGTATTTTGGCTCAGTTGTAGGTTGAAGCCCAACATTAGATATGAGTCATCATCTAGTCTAATGCTTGTGGAGTACTGAGAGGAGTGCTGCATGGTTGGAATTGCTGATATATGCTGCCTTGTCAGAGATGTAGTCATTTGGATGAGATGTTAAACAGTCTGCCTGTTCGGGTGGATATTAAAGATCCCATGCACTATTGAAAACAGAAGGGAGTTTCTCCTGGTGTCCTGCCCAACACTCCCCCAGAAAAAAAGTTGGTCATTCAATTCATTGGCCGTTTGTAGGACATGGCTCTGCGGCAATTGCCTGTCATATTCAACTGTACCATTCATAGTCACTAAACTTTATAGCAAACCCTGTGAAGTGTTTAAGGCATACTCCAGATATGAAAGGCATAATATCAAATGCAAGTATTATTATGGAGGTTGAACCCCACAGTCTTACTCTTAGGGAACAAACTATGTTTTCTTACAAAATAGCACCACAAGTAACCAGGTTCTAACCTCTGTTCCAGAGCCTCATGAATACTGCCCAGACGAAAACCATGAGTCGCTGGTGTGGACGAAGACACCAGCAGGGGAGTCTGCGGTGGTCAGATGTCCACCAAATGCTGCAGGTAATAGATACTGGGAGGAATGGCCGCCTGCTCATACTGAGTGGGTTTAAACGTTTGTTGATTTCCATTAAAAGAGAGATCGACAGAGACTGAGGTAGACAAGTATTAAGGGGTATGGCAAAAGGGCCGAGCATCGGGATTAAAAGGTCTGCCAACATTTTACAAGCTGGTGGAGCAGGCATGTTGAGTTGAATGGCTCCTCCTGTGTTCCTCGCACTGTTATAGCTTATCCAAGGTTCTGCTGGAACAGAACCAACCTTTGGTTACCTTGGTATTTAAAAACACTAACTTCCTTCTTTGCTGCTCAGGAATAATCCTGAGGCGATGTGTCTTGGACGAAGCTGGAATCGCGTTTTGGGATCCACCGAGTTTCCTCAAGTGTATTTCAAATGACTACCGGACACTTCAGTCGGAGGTATGTGTGCACTGCTTGATATTCTGTTGTGAGACTGATTTTAGATTTGCTCAAGAGAATGACGAGTGGAACATTTCTTTGTTACATTCCCCCATAATGTTTGTATGTCATTCCTTTTGTAAATCTCTCCCTTCTCCCACCTTCCCACTTGTCCTCCCCTCTGTTACCAGGACAATACGCCACCTGTTAGCTCCTTTCTTTAAATCTCTTCCAACGTCAATATTTTTAGAAATACCTCCTGATGAAGGCAGGTATGGTCACGGAACTACTGTAGTTCATTTACAAGAGTGATTATTACTATTTATGAAACATGCAAATATAATTATTAGTTCCTAATTCCCAAATGACTTAGTAACCTACACTGCCTTGTTGCTGAGCAACCTGGAGATGGAGTCGACTTCACAGTCTGTTTGCCAAAGCCCCTCACATGAGAACCTGGATTAAGCAGTCTTTGAAAGTCTTAGCAATACTGGGGGTCTATTATACATCAGATGTAAACCATCTATAAAGCATGTGTAAAAGTACATGTGCGCAAAAGTCTTAGCAATACTGGGGGTCTATTATACATCAGATGTAAACCATCTATAAAGCATGTGTAAAAGTACATGTGCGCAAAAGGACTGGACATTGCTTACTATTACAAATGTATCATTTTCGGTAGGTGTTAATCCAAGCCGGAGAACAGAGAGTGAAGCTCAACAATAGCAACAACTTGCATATATATAGGCTTGTTTATAATATAGCAGCCACATTGATGTTTGCCGGAATGTTTAAAAAGCCATTTATCTTATGAAAGGTGCTGCGTAAATTCACGTTACTGTTGATACGTTAGATAAATGCAGAGCTCCTTTTAATAACACAGAACAGAGTGGAGCCGAGGTTTATGATCTATAAAATTATAACTCGTGATGTAGGGTGGCATGATGGAGGGTTTGAATGCATATGTATCCATGCATATATATCCCACCCAACTCCACTGGTGTGTGGATCAGTGGAAGGGGTTAAGTATAAAAGTTCAGATAAAAGTGACTGATTGCGGACTGGATGTTTACACTGCTGTAAATTCCTGATAACTTGTCATTCCAAAGGGAAATGGCTCAGTAACGAGTTATCAGGAGAGGCGAGTTTCCTTCTCAAAAAATATAATAAATTGATCACTCAATCCATGACTGTTTGTGTGAAACTGCTGTGTGCAATTGGCTGCCGGGTTTTGCCCAGAACATACACAATCACTCCACTTTACAGTATATCCTGTGAAGCTCTTGGAAACGTCTTGAAGACACGATAAGGCGCTATATCAAATGCAAGCATTATTATTATATATATTTCGCCCACAAATATACAGTCAATTCACTTTATAGCATATTCTGTGAAGCGCTTTGAGACGTCTAGAAGACATGAAAAGCGCTATATTAAATGCAAGGATTATTATTATATATGTAACAGGCCAAATTGCTCCCTGCGTGTAAACTGGATTTGCACAAAAATTAAAATTGGCTGACTTCTGGGTCATTAGATCTCTGTCAATTGTCACGTCCTGCTATACCGCATATGTGCAAAACAAGAAGTGATGCTGACAGCAGCAGTTTTATTACAAGAAGGTAAAATGGTTGGCTTCACTAGGTCGTTGCCGACATCACTTCCTGATTTGCTGCTTGTGCAACGAACATGAAAGTGATATCAGTAATGACCTAATATCTTGGGAGTCAGCAATTTTGTGGGAAAAGCCTGCTGCACATATTCACGGCAAATTGAACCAGCAGTGTAACCACGTTTTAAGCAAAGTAGCACTATTGTGAAGCGTGTTATAACATATAAATATAACAGGAGGCTGCACTGTATGAACTGTTATACAGTCAACACGTTGCAGCCACATTATTTTTCTTCTCTCTCGCTTTGTTATTTATTGGTCCTTTTAACCGCCCCCCCCGCCTTTTAGGATAACCAAACCCAGAATCATTTACCAGCCAAAAGAATGTCAGGCAGCCTTGTGTCTCAGATGCTGACAATATGGTTTTGTAACTAGTTGCTAGGAGGTGTGTGACAGCAGCTCTGGTATGACTCGCCCTCGCAGATTTCTTTCCTCCTCTGTCTACAATGCCCTTTGCCGGTGTATACTACATCCTCTCCCACGATGGCATGGCCAAGTTCTGAGCACCTCGAAGAAGGCACAATCACCAAAGCTCCTCAAGGGTCCAAAGAAGAAGGGCAAAGTGGATAGGAACAGAGCATCTGCTGAACAGAAAGCGCTTTTCAGCGTTTGCTGTTAAGAGTAATGATTGTATTTTGTAGCTTAATGCAGCAGACAATTTGGGCATGGCTATGTCCTACAAACTCCATCAAGTGAATGGCCAATTTTAATTGGGGATTGTTAGTCAGAAGATCGGGAGAAACTCCCATCTCTTTTTAGATAGAGAACTTTAATGTCCATTCGAACAGGCAGTTGAGTTTCATGTCTCATCCAAAGGACAGCACCGTGACAATACAACACAAGCCCAGCACTGCACTGAAGTGTCAACCTAGGTTATCGGACTTCAAAGCCCTGATTCAGAGGTGAAAGTTCTACCACCTGAGCCAGGCTGCTCGACAGACACCAGTGTTTATAATTGAGCACACCAGACAACTAATATACAGCAGTTTTCTACAAACAGCTAGGAGGTGAGTAATCAATTTAATTGGAGGATTATTGGCCCGGATATAGGGAGAAACTCTCTTTTCAAGCACTGTTGCAACATCCTAAACAGAAAGGCTGGATCTCGGTTTAATGTCTTATCTAAAAGATGACACTTCCAATGATGCAGAGAGAACCCCAGCACTGCATTGGAGTGTCAGCTTGGATTGTAAGCTCAAAATCCCCATCCAGAGCTTGAACCTGTAACCTTCAGACTCAGAGGTGAGAGAGCTACAAACTGAGCCAGGCTGACAAGTAATATACCTTTGACTTGCAGACAAGGGAGTATCTATCCAAGGCCCAGCGAGGCTTGATGAGCGAAGGGGTGTCGGAAGTCATCAGCAACCTTGCGGACATCTCAGAGGGGGGGACCAGCTACAGCGGGGACATTGTAGCCTCGATGAACATTCTGAAGAACATGACCGACATATTCCGGAGGACCTACTACACCCCGACAGCTGGAGATGTACAGGTCAGACATCACTCATCAAACAGCACCGTGACAGTAAAGGTCGGGGTAGGGGAGGGGGTGGTCTAATTGAGCAGCAAAATCACTAAGTCATGGATCCTTGTTGAGGGTGAACTCTGATGGAAAGCAGCTTAGAAGCCAATTCCCTGCTACGCAATGGGAGTCTGCTTTGGCTGTGTTTATGTCCTGGGTTTCCTGGGTGGGGGGGGGGGGCAAAGCTGTGTTCCATTGGGTTACACTTTGACACACATGCACAGGATTTGACTGTTAGGAACCAGATTTACACCTCCTCTGCAGGTCTGCCTGTTTCATTGGACTGAGCAGTGGGTACAGACCCCACCACCACATGGACCTCAGTTAGGCATTAGGATGATTAGATAAACCACAGTGTCCTTTTCAGTTCCTCATTACAATGGCACCGGTTGTTTCACTGAGACAGATAACCAAGGACAGATGGCTAATAGGGGTAATAATGCAGTAAGGAAGAGAGCTTGCTCTCCCAAGACTGGAGACAAAGCCAGAAGAGATCCAGAATTCTCTCTGGCCTTTGAGACTATTTCGTCTTAGAATTTATGAATGCACAAAATTAGGGAAATATCTTAAATCTGATCTTAATTTGGAAACCGGCTCTCTTGAAGAACCGTGGAAAAATGTTTTAGAAATTCAGACTGGATGTAAGGGTTTTCCCTTACTGCTTAATGTTGGGTTAAAATAGAGAGTGCTTTACTCCAGTTCATGCCAACAACGCTGCGAAATGTAATCCATTACGCCAACTCTGCCATTCCCTCCCCTTCATAAAGTGTAATAAAGTCTTCAAAAGAAACATTTCGCTTCACATTCACAGATGACCCTTTAGCACTAACCTTGGCTTTCTTGCTTCTGTGTCCACTGCACAGAATTTTGTTCAGATCGTGAGCAATTTGTTGTCGGAAGAAAACAGAGCAAGATGGGAAGAGGCTCAGCTGGTAAGTAGAAAAGATTGGCTCTTGACAAACATTGATGGAGAATTGCTACTCGCAAGAACATAGCATTTGTAAAACTAACAATGAAACATTATAGTATGAGATGAAAGGTTAAGGTACATGGTGAACGGTTATGGTACGAGTTGAAAAGTGCAAGGTATGAGGTGAAAGCATATGACTGGTCACCAGGATGTACATTTGAGTCCAGGTGTTATTTAAAAAATGGCTTGATGCTGTAATCGGAGGACACTAGGTGAGTATTATGGAAAGGTTTGAATGCATTACATTTCTCAGCTTCTGTGGATCGCTTTTTTGAGTAAGGGGCATCTCAATGAAGGAAGAAATTTGCTGCAGTTTAAACATGTAGGCGTATCCTGGCTAAACATCCTGTTGCTATGGTTACCGTCACCGGTGAGTCAGCTTGGGTTCAGGACTTAATAATAGGATTGTCGTGAGATTGCGCGTTGATATTTTTAAAAGAAAAAAAACACAGAATGCGTCTGTGATCAGCATTAAGTACTGGTCGCCTGGAAACAAATCAGAGAAGAATAGAGACCATGTTAGTTAGTGGGAATATTTATCACCTCTCGCCACCATGCTCCCATGCCCCTGTTGATTCTCTCAATACTTGGCTTTGAGCTTGTGACGTCTCCGAACTATGTTGTCTCTGTTATATTTTTTTGCAGACGGGCCCAAACTCAAGGGAAGTGATGCAGACAGTCGAGTTGTTCATTGATGTCATTGGCTTTCGGATGAAAGACTTCAGGGATTCCTACATAGTTACCCAAAATCTAGGTGCGCCAAGGTTTTTCAATTCGCTTTACAAACTGATGGGAGAGCATTCGGGGTTATCAAACCGATTGATTTCATTTTCACATTTCACCCTTCCCAAACTACCTTCCTCTTTCCCCACCCCCTCCCAAAACCACATTTGGGAGAGGAGAAGGTGGGAGGGAAGAAACTGAGAACTTGCATTTTTTGTAAATACTACTAATCTTTATGTTTGATGTAGCACCTTTCATGTTGGGAGGACAACCCCTTGGGACATTCTTCAGACTTAAAGATGCTATATAAATGTAATTTGTTGTTGTTGACATCTCAGCGCTTTATTGGAAAGTGACGGTGTATTTTGTAGGTGAACACACAGTTTCCATTTCCACACATCATTGTTCCACAAACAGCTATGAAGTGAATGACCAATTTCATTTCAAATAATTCCATAGGATCTTTAACGTTCACCTGAACAGGCAGATGGGACCTTGCTATGATGTCTCATTTGAAGGACGGCATCTCCAATACTGTATTGGAGCGTCATCCTAGACTGTGAGCAAAAAGTCTTAACGTGAAATGACAACCTTCTGACTCGGAGGCAAAAGTGCTAACAATTCCCAACCTGCTTCTTTTTTCCAAACAGTGCTACTTTAATACCAACAAAATCTTGCACTGATATACTGCCCTCTACACAGAGAAGCACCTCAGACCGCTTAACAGTGGTGGAGAGCCTGACTCCGAGATGGCGAGGGGGAGGTGGCCGTCAGCACGGTCGAAGAGGAAGGTTTTCAGGCAGGTCTTGGAAAAAGGGAGAGGGGTCAAGGAGGAGGGAATGAGGGAGAGTGTTCCAGAGTTTCAGGACATAGTGGCTGAAAGCGCGACCTCCGATGGTGGGGCAGAGAAACAGCAACAACAAGATTTCATTTATAGAGCGCCTTTCACGTCGGGAGGACGTCCCAAGGCGCTGGACAGTTGGGTCGGGACCTGAGCAGGGGAAAATGGTCAGGGGGAGGGAAGGGAGGGGTGAGGAAAGGGAGGGCCAGTGCCAGTCAAGCAGAGACACCGGGTGGTGGATTGGGAGTGAGGAGGTCGGAGAAGAAGTGAGGTGCCAGCGAGTGAAGGGATTTGAACACGAGTGTGAGGATCTTGAAGTCGAATACCCACCTGAATAAGCAGACAGACATCATCATCTTAGTGATGTCTCTCACCTCAACCTTCATGGTTCTGCCCTTGAACAGTTCTGATTCTACTTCTCACACGGTCTCCACTTTATCTCCACAAACTGCTTTTCCTCCAGCCCCAGCACTGTCTTATGCGGAGTTCCTCAGGGCTCTGTCCTTGGTCCTCTCCTTTTCAATATCTATATGCTCCCTCTTGATAACATCATCTGCAGACATGGGGTCAACTTCCACATGTATGCGGTGACACCCACCTCTATCTTTGCCTCTGCCCTCAACTGCCCTCCTGAGTGGCTGTCAAACATCAAGTCCTGGATGAGAGCTAACTTTCTACAGTTGAACATCAACAAGATTGAAGCTCTCCTGATTGGCTCCCGTCAGCGCATCCACACCTCAGGCACTGACAGCATCACCATCCGTGGATGCACACTCCACCTCACTGAGCCAGTCCAGAAGCTTGGCATCTTGTTTGACCCTCACATATTCTTTCTACCCCACATTCATGCCATGACCCGCTTTGCTTTCCTCCACCTCCGCAACATTGCCCGGCTCTGCCATTCTCTCGCACTGCAGGCCTCCAAAACCCTCATACACGCATTCATAACATCCAGGCTTGACTATGCAAACTCCCTGCTTGTCGGCCTCCCCAAATCCTCTCTCCATAGCCTGCAGATCATCCAGAACTCTGCAGCCTGTGCCCTCTCCCACACCAAACTCCGCGACCCTATCACCCCCATCCACACCTGACTCCACTGGCTTCCCACCCCACTCCTCACCTCAGCTCTTCCACACCCCACCCCACATTGCAGGCGAGGGCAGAGGGGGTGGCAATGAGGGTGGCGCCAAAAGGGGTGGATGTGAGGTGAGGTTAGAGGAGAGAGACAAAAGCAGAGATGAGAGCGGGGGGAAGAGCCGAGGGCGGATGGGAGAGGAGAGAGGCAAGAGCTGGGGGAAAAGGTGAGGGCGGATGGGGAGAGGCGAGGGGAGAGGGCGCTGATTGTGACAACCTGTCACCTTGGCTCAAACCCAGAAAGTTCATAACTTGGCAAAAGAAGAAGCCGTAAAATAACTCCATATCACACCCACCTTGAAATCTCACATTGTGTTGTCAAATCTCGGCGTGAGCACTATTTTTAATCCCGATTAGCAGCATTTTCATTAGAATGAGCTAACAGTGTGTGTAAAAACAATTACAGACTGCAGGAGAAATGAAAAGGCTGCCACAGCGTTCAAACCCTCAATTAAATTATAGTGTCATTATTGACTCCCTCACCCTCCTGTTTTCTACGTGTGTTGTGTGTGGGGGAAGAATGACTCACCAGCACAAACACCTCAGCCTCCCTTCCCTACTCAATACACGCAACAAGTCACTACTACAGGCTACAAGTGTCAGCCTGTCTCAGTGCGTAGCACTCTTGCTTCTGGGTCACAAGCTAGTGGGTTTAAGCCTCATGTTGAGAATCAATCTAAGATAATAATAATCCTTGCATTTAATATAGAGCCTTATCACATCGTTGAGACATCTCAAAACTCTTCACAGAATATACTGTAAATTAGAATATATATTTTGTGGGCGAAACGTGGGAGCCAATTGCGCACAGGATTGTCCCACAAACAGTTGTGGATTTAGGGACCAAATTATAATTTTTTAAGGGGAAAAGTGATCTGCTAATCGACTAACAACTGGGTTCCTACTAACTGCTAGGTAATCAGAGCAGTGTGGAGTAAGGAAACTTGCCTAAGGTTTTGCCCGGGAATTGAACCTGGGTCTTCTTGCTCACGAGGTAGTGCTCTAACCACTACTCTACAGAACTCCACAGTGTCCCCCGGTGCTGTGAGAGCACTGCATTGTCAGAGGTGCTGTCTTTCAGAGGAGACGTTAAAGTATAACGATTATGTATTGTGTAAGCAAATGCATAGCCAATTTGCCCACAGGAGCGCCTCACAAACAGCCACAAAGTGAAGGATCAATCTGGAGGATTGCTGGCCAGAATATCAAGAGAAACTCCTTCCTCTTTTCAAATAATGGCCTCAGGATATTTAACATCCACCTGAACAGGCTTACATCAGGACCTCATCTAAAGGACAGCACCTCCAACAATGCATAGGAGTGTCAACCTAGACTGTGAACACAAAGTCCCGATGTCAGACTTGAACTCACAACTATCTGACTCAGAGGCAAGAATGCTATGAACTGACCCAAATTGATACCCAAATAAAACCAAGTTGAATATAAAGTATTTCTTTTGTCTCCACCCCCAGTGTTAAGTATTTATAAACGTCCAGCCATTGGGGCTACGGACATAAATTTCCCAATGAAAGGTTGGAGAGGAATGGTGGACTGGGCCAGAAATTCTGAAGATAAAGTTACTGTTTCGAAGAATATCTTTTCGACACGATCCTCAGGTAAAATAAGATTTTATTTACTTCTTTCCTGTTGTTCATAATCCCTCAACTCTAACCAGAGAGCTGTTGGCGTGAAACCTGCGTTAGTTCTATTAGCATTCCAAATGTTGAGAAAAGTTTGATAACTACTAGGTATGAGGAATGCTATTCAGGTGTGTTCTTACCAGACTGTAGAAAGTGCCTGACCCTTCCCTACCCAGCTGCCTCGCACAGCATACAACCAGCAGAGGAATCTGGAGCAGGAACCCTGGCTGATTTTCCCCTCCCTAAACTTGGGAAGGCTGCAGTGAATTTAGCCTCCACATGAAGCCTTGGCTGAGACCAACAAACATGGGAATTCAAACCCATCTCCATCCTCATAATAAACTCACTTGATTTCAGAGATCATTTGTAGGATGATTGAGGGCCACTGGATCAAAAAAGCAACTGGATAAGTAAGAGAATTATCGCAAAGCCACTCGTATTTAACACTTTAAATATCCAGAGGATTTACGGGGTATCACAAAAGGGCAGGGCATTGAGACTAAAAGAAAGACCTGCCAATATTGTATAAACTGGTAGAACAGGCTCAATGGCCTGAATGGCCACCTTCTGTTCCTATTTTCCTATTATCACTCCCCTCACTCATTATTCCTACAATTTAGGAGCATACTTGTTTGGTGGGGTCACCAATGTCATGTCAGATCTCACATTTTTTTCCACCGCAAATATTGGTGTGGATCTCTGATGGTGCAGATCTTCTTTCATTTGTAAGTCAGCATAAAATGTCTTTGTCTTTACAGACCAGGACGACTCTTCAGTCTACGTGATAGGAACTGTCCTGTACAGGAACCTAGGGGGACTCCTGGCTCTTCAGAAGTAAGTCTCTTTGACCTTTCAGCCAACCTGCCCTGAAAAGGTTAAACTCAAAACTAAATTGATAACACTCAAAGATGTAACAATATAATAATCATTCTTGCATATGGTATAACACCTTATCATGTCATGAGAACATCTCAAAGTGCTGCATGGAATTTACTGTAAAGTTTAGTGACTGTATTTTGTAGGGGAATGCGGTAGACAATTTGTGCACATCAAGGTCCTGCTCGCATCCATGAAGTGAATGACCAAGTCATTGTCATTGTCTGCAGGATGCCAATAGCACAGATGAGTTGAGTGGCTGCTATATTTTCCTGTGTAACAACATTCACCTTCCCGTTCAAATTCTGCTCCGAAGGATATCGCTTAGGTAAAAAGGAGTGGTGGGGTCTCGCTTGGAGCATAAACAATGGCACAGACTGGTTTGAATGGCTTTTTGCTGTTCCCTGTTATTCTAGGTAACACGTCGCTCTATGTAACGTGTTGGTCTATGTAAATTAAACAACTTGGCATAGCTGGATCCTGGGTTTACAGGTGCAGTAGCATTGCTCCTAATTGTGGTTGCACTTAGGGGTTAACAGATGGATTTTACTTGTATTCTAGGAACAACACAGTGCTGAATTCCAAGATTATCTCTGTCATCATGAGACCATCTCCAAAATCTTTACCCAGCCCTTTGGAAATTGAATTTTCTCATCTCTACAATGTAAGTCTCAACTTTACCTATGCATTTACATTATGTAAGTCTTAACATGGTTGATGGAGAACACACAGTTTTTGTTATTATTGTTTTGTTTTCAAATGAGCTGTGTTGCTTGGATTCATTTATCAAACTTATTTATTAAAATAAATATAAAAATGACATAAACCAAAATTAATTGTTGGCGTTCTTGTCTGTCGGGTGTGGCTCGTTAGGAAGAGTTTTGATCAGAGGTTGGTGGAAGAATATTCAAGCCCCCATAGTCCTGGCTGACACTCCAGCCCTCTACTGGGGGGAAATGGGAGGAGGGAAGAGAGAGTGCTGGATTGTCCCTGGTTACCTGTCCTCATTATTCCAACTCTCTGCTCGCTAGACTCCTCAATTCCTCACTAGAAAGACTGCAGCCTACAGAGAGCTCAGTAACGTGTTCTGTCCCACAACAGACTCCCCATCACTCTATATTCGAACTGTGTAAAGTAGCGATAGTTACAACAACCAGATCTGTCATTGAAAAGGACAGAGTGTCAATTGTGAAATTCTTTACAGTTGAAGCATCTTATCTTACAGAAATACACAAATTCCTCAAATCAAGTGTTTCTTTTGTCTGACAGGGAACCACAAACCAGTCGTGCATTGTTTGGGATGAGACTGACACGTAAGTTTCTCACTTAAAACACATTTGAAAGCAATGAGAGGGGAAAGCGAAACAGAGTGTTTAGCTTTTATTGAACATTTCGGTGCTTTCTTCGGGCGAGAAAGCAAAGCGTCAGTCTCGATTGTGATCTAAATGCAGCATTTGCCATGAAGTCCTGGTTTGCATTTTCGATCCCTTTCTTCCGTATGAAGCTTGCCCTTTTCTTGATCTTGATGTTGTCTGTGCATTGAATGATAAAAGCAGCTTTGGTGATGTGTCTGCTGTGTTACGCTTGATACTACGGCTGGAGGTTGAACACAATACTTTTGACTGTGGTTGACTGGTGTTAGTCCTGAAATTGCGCTTTGCAGTTCTAAACCTGTTTCCTCTTGTTCTACTGTCTCAGTGCATCCAAAAATCGTGTTCTGGTTTTTCCCTTTCCCTTTCAATCCCATTTAAAATGTTGTACATCTCTGTAAAATCCCATTTATGATGTCTCCTGTAACTTTCCATTTGTAATCTTGCAAAACAGACCAAGATTAAATGGGAAGGAATTCCAAGATCTATTTCCTATTACAGTTATACGGTTATAGATATAGAAGTGAAGTGAAAAGCGCTATATCAAATGCAAGGATTATTAGTATTATATTATTATCCCCTTTCAAGGATTCTATTGATTTTAGCCTCAATAACCACTTAAACTAATGAATTCCAAACCCTGAATTAAAAATCATGACACAATGCCCCGTAATTTTCCCCTCTCTATTTTGTTCATTCTCACTCCCCTTATTTCCCTCATTCTCCCTTATTTATCTTTTGTTCTCTTTCTCGTTCTTTTGACTTGTCAACTTTCTGGTATTATATTATTGTATAATATTAATAACAATAATTCTGAACCTCAAGATTCCCTAATGATTTATAAATGCTGAATGTGAGCCTCAAAATCCCTCATGGTCCTAGTAAAATCCCATCACCTGGGACCCCAGTTTAACGTCTCATCCAAATGACAGCATCTCTAACAATGCAGCACTTCCTTAGAACTGTATTGGAACGTCAGTCTAGACTGTGAGTCTAGGGTATCAAATCAAAACCTTCTACTTCAGAGGCGATTGCGCTACCAACTGAGTCAGGTTGACACGTGGGTTAATAGCCTAAAGAGGCTGCCACTAGATGCATATCACACACTGAGAAAATATTTCTTCAGAACTCTTAGAACACAGAGCACCACTCAGATGACTCTGCGAATTGTGAGATGCGCTTAATTTGAGAGTTTTGGCCTGTTGAGCGGCACAGCACGGTGACGGATTTTGCAAGATATGACTTTCCACTTGATGGAAGAGCTCACAGGATTCAAGTTTATTTTTGAACAGCAATTTGACACCATGAAAATTCAGTTTTCCATTTATCACAGAACAGCTTCTTGGGATCGCTCTCCAGGCACTGAGCAAGCAAATTGCTTCCTGCTGGATTTAGTAGCAATGGGTATGGATATTAAATTGTATTGTGTGGGTGAAGACAAATTCCTTTCAATTGAGGCAATATGAGCTCAGCTTCCTGTGATGTGCTTTGCCATTTTGTGACACTGATTAAACTCTGCTGGTGGTATCCAGGCAAGCAAGTACAGGACAACCCCGTTACAATGCTTATAATCACAGTTGGGTTGTGGACCTTGACATTTTCTTACCAGTAAATCGCAATTGCGGCATCAAAATCTCATTGCAAAACAAAGGCGAACTTTCGGGTTATTGGGTTGCAACTTACGTCACTTCCTGTGACTTAATGACTGGAAGTTGGCCATTTTATCGTGCCTCTTTAGAATACAAGACCTGACGAGGGTGGATTGAAAGTTTCTTTGTATTGCTATGGAGGTGTTAAATGGGCAATACACATATTGAGTTTACATAGATTTTCTTAAAAAACTTTGTTTTGCTACTGCGACGTTGAAACATGAAACATCTTAAAGAGAAGGGAGTTTCTCTTGCTTTCCTCACCAACAATCCACCAGATCAAACTGTCATTCACTTCATAGCTGATTGATGTACATTAGCTGTTGCATTTGCCTATGAAATACACAGTCACAACAGTTTATAGAGGTGCTTTGAGACCTTATCTTTGTTTTGGACAGCCAGGTCTTTCAGTCTGGTTCAGATACTCTTAAGCATGGTGATGGGTTTCCGCATGTGTCAGACACCCGACTAACCAAAAAAAGGCACAGACCTTTTGTCATCATATCAAAATGCAAGGATTATTATTAATTTTGTCTCCACACAGCTGTTGGCTTTCATGCAGAGGGCAGGAAATGACATCCAATACGAAGTTAAATCTCTCTTTATAACAGGCCTTCATGCACGAAATTTGGGTTTACGGACCCGAAACTGTTCATTATAACAGGGTGCTCCTGTATATCTGGTTTATTTGACCTATGTCTCAATTATTGCTTGAAAATACGGTGATCACTCATTAGCATTTAGATAGATATTTCAGATTAAGTTGACCTTTCAGATTAAGTTGCCTATTAGGATATTTTACCGAATTTCAACCAAGCTACTTATCAGAGAGTCAAGCGGCATCAAAGAGGAGGAGTGCACAGCACAAGAAATTTTAATTGCAGCCCACTAATCGTTCATAAAAGTAGCCCATTCTTAATAAACTGTGCTGATGTAGTTTCTAAAAGGAGAGTTTTGAAAGTTTGACTAGCAGGTTAAGAGTAGGTGGAATTTCATGGGGCTTCGATCCCATGAAATTCTACCCAGTCTTAGCCTGCTTGTCTGCTTCACCTTATCATGGTGATATATATTTTGTAGGATTTAGTCCCTACATTAAGCTGTAAGGTATTTTTTGTCTTCTTTGTTTCAGCTTTGATCCTCTGAGGAGACTTAAACCCTTTGCTCGACCATAAAATTAACTTTTTAATCGATTGAGTGGATTTGTTTCCCCCTTCCTCCCTCTACGCAGCCTTTTGAGTCAACCAATAAAAGGTATTTATTTTGAGCTGAAGAGAGCAATGTGGATTTCCACTTCTTATGAGGCACAATGAGTCTTGAAAATAAACTCCTAACAAAAAAATAACACCCCTGACATTGGGACTAAATTTTGCTGATTAAAAAAAATTGCTCATCTGAGATTCGAGAAAATGGCTGGTGCTGGGATCTGGAGAGGAAGAAACCACTTATACAGAGGGTTGTGCTGCCACCTAGTGGGCCATCATTTGTACCGGCATTAAATGAAGAATGCCACAAAATATTTACAAGAATTTGAAAAAGAATTCCCAGACTGCTGGAGTCAACCAGGAAAAACTAAATAGAGCAAGCTTTCCACTGCATCTTCAGCTAGGACCACCCTACCTTCTAGGGATCTGGCTTGTAGGGTGAAAAGTTGCTGAGTGGGAAGAATTCCTGCCTTGAGTGACCTCCCTAATTTTGACAATGTCTCTGCTTCAACAATAATAATAATCCTTGCATTTGATATAGCGCCTTATCATGTCTTCGAGATGTCTCAAAGCTCTTCAAAAAATGTACTGTAAAGTGGGCGAAATGCAGCAGCCAATGCGCACAGCACTATCCCACAAACAGTTGTGGATTGAGTGACCAAATTATTATTATTAATAATTATTATTTAAGATTGCATAGAATTGTGGAAAATACTTAAATTCCAAAGCCATTTTTGTACAAACTGTGGAAAAGCAGTTTCTGAACCAAAACCGAATCAAAGAATGTTCCACCTTTCTACGTTCAACACTCAGCTACAAGCAATAATTTGTAGCAGAGATTTCCACTGTCTTCTGTGCAAAAACAACAAAAACAATTTACATTTATGTAGCATCTTTCACACTGGGATGAGGGTGTCTCAAACTCCTTGACATAGCTACCTGAGAGCCCAAGCTGGTGGGTGTTGGGAGCCGAGTGGGAGGGAAGAAAGATGAACGATAGCCTGCTCAAAAAGATAGGTCTAATGGCAGGTTTTGAAGGCAGGGAGAGACAGAAGGAGGGAATGAGGGACTCCGGGATAAAGTTCCAGAGGGCGGGCAGAATGGCTAAAAGTTTACCCGGCAATGGTGATCTTGTGGCAGGTCAGGTGAGATGTGTGTATCAGGTCAGTGTATGATGAGCGGAGGGAACAACCAGGGCAGTAGGGTTGCAGGAGGTCACAGAGTTGGAGTGGGGCGAGGCCGTGGAGGGATTTGAAAGTGATCAAGCTAAGCAGATTGTGCAAAACAGATTCAAGCTGCAGCAATATCCTTGAAGCCAAATGGAGACGTGATGGTCAATGAACAGCACCAACCTGTGCCAGCATGAGAGCGAGCTGGGAATTAATTGGGACTAGGAGCTGTTCTTTTCTGCGTAACATCTTAATTGTTGACATGCAACAGAGAGAAGCAGTTCTGCCCCCACACCGCCCCGCTACCCCCCACCCACCCCACCCCCCCGCACTTGACAAGGCACTCCGTGAGATTTTTGTTTAATTAATTGTATGAATTATACCAACAAAACATCAACATGGCATCTGCAGATTCCTTTGACAGTGAAGGATATAACTCTGCACCAAGATGCAAATCTTGTTTACCAAGCATTCATCTATGTGTTGTGTAATGCACACCAAGGGCAACTCTCTCATAAATGTATAAATCTTGCTAGTCGGAGTGGAGCTTCCTGGCTCAGTCGGTTGCATTGTCGCCTCTGAGGCAGAAGATTACGAAGCACTTTGAGCTCGTGCAGTCTAGACTGCCATTCCAATAGAGTGCTGAGGGAGCACTGCAGTGTTAGAGGTGCTGTGCTTGCATGAAATGTTAAACCGACATCCCAACTGTCTGCTCAGGTAGACAGTAAAGATCCTATGCCTTAACACTCTGCTATACCAGAAGTTATTTGTATTACTTTATAGTACAAGGTGACCAAAAAAGTTGTGATACTATTACAATGTCTAATAAGTCTAAAATAAATGATGATATTTTTGAGTTTCTTTAGATAATAGACAGTTATCAAGTTTTTTTGTTCACCCTCTATATCCTGTGCAGCCATCCT